AAAAAATGCAACCCCCCCCATCCCTAAACAACAAAGACTAAATGAAGTGATACTTATTTTTACTTTCTTTCATATTCAATCTGTTCCTAATTATTGCAGAGTAAAAATGCGCGAAACAGATTTGCTGTCTTTGATGATAAAAGTGAACACTGAACAACAATCATAATCTACTAGGATCAGGTTATTCCGGTATGGTAAGTTTTGAGGTGCCATTACTCTTAACGTTATCCTTTAAATACTTTGATTGTTTGACTGCCTGATTATGTAATTTATATACCTTAAACTTGTACTGTAGAGGATTGCGTAAGTCACCGTTCAGCTTAGTTCAAGTTATTTCAACATGAAACAGCCGTAACTTGTGTTTATCCATGTGTGATTCCAGGAACATACGATATGGCATCAATGGGCGCAGCGTATGGAGAGAATCATATGCCAATGGAAGCTCTTCCGCATATCATTCGTGTCGTCAAGCCAGGTAAGTAAGACATGACTAATCATGACTTGCATTGGATCATCTTGCTTCCGTTCATCTCTAAACAGAAATCCCAGACTGCTTCTAACGATTTGCATTTTGTATCACATAATAGATCTATGTTGAGAAGTACAATGAGGAAAAAATAAATGGGGTTTCTGCGACAATTGAATACATGTCGACATAAGGACCTGGAATATTTAATTCTCACTGGCAAAATTCAGGGCAAACAAAGCAGGGGTAGACCCAGATCAAGCAACCCAAATGAAGATCCTAAACAATTAGGTGTCATGGTAAGACAAGGATAATGTAGCTTGTGAGAGCATTCGAGCAAAGGGATGAATGGAGAACCATGACCGTCCATGTCTGTCGCATATCAAGCATTTGATGATGTTCACTTGGTAAGTTGTTAGCTGTGTGCTCTCTCATCAGCTGGCAGTAGTTTTACAACTTATCAACATCCACTTCCTCGTCAATCCCAAACTGTCTAAATTTCTACCTTTGTATTATCAGGTAAAGATCTGAGTTCTCTCTTCTTAAAAATAATCGTCTTTCTCGCATTACGTCATGGCTGGCTCCCCTCACGTTGGCCTCACAGAGAGTGGAGACCCACAATGTGCGTAGTTGGTCAAGTAAGTTTTGAACGGAGGCCTTGACTAGACAATAAGCGTACCGTATTACATGTATTCACTTCACATGTACCAAAATCTGAGACTATTGAAAGGATTGCATTTGTATGTCTCACGCCTGTGTCTTGTCTTTGCATGCATACCTTATGCTCAATATTTGTCCCTACTTGCATTTTACACCATGCTGTACATGTACATACATTTTTTGTATACACATATCCCATATTTGTCACAACTGCCTTAGATTCTGACTGTATACATGAGTATCTGTTTATCTCTACTAACGTTCTATATAATATATATGTCCAATGTTTGTCAGTACAATGTACTGAAATACTGTGTGTTCCATGTTTGTAACTACTGACATACTGTATGTCTTAAATTAGTCACTATTGATATAATGTATGTCCTATATTTGTCACAATTGACACACTGTATGTCCTATATTTGTCAATACTGACACACTGTATGTCCTATATTTGTCACTACTGACATACCGTTTGTCCTATATTTGTCCCTGTTGACATACTGTATTATTATGTCCAATAGTTTGTCACTATTGACACTCTGTACGCCCTATATTTGTCGCTATTGACACACTGTATGTCCCATATTTGTCACTACTGACATACTTTTTGTCCTACTATACATGTATATGTCACTGTTGACATACTGTATTATGTCCAATAGTTTGTCACTACTGACACACTATATGTCCTATAATATTGTCACTACTTAACTGACATAGTGTACGTACGTCCTATATTTGTCACTATTGACACACTGTAGAAAGACATACTGTATGTCCTATATTGTCACTACTGATATACCGTATGCCCTATATATTTTTCACTATTGACTTATCGCTGTTCGCCCCATGCTTTTCACTACTGTATATCTTGGCTCAATCTATCACTATTGTCATACTATATATAATAATAGATAGCATTTGTATAGCGCATATCCCCGCTCAGCAGTAGGCTCTATGCGCTTTACACTATATTATTACCCCAGCAGACCATAGAACACTCCGAAACATTCTCAGCTTCCCGGGAAGCATACAGTGCCAGCAGCCGATTAAGCGCTCAAACACTAACAAACTGACAAGATCTTTCGCTGTCTATAGCCGCGTACCCATTCCCACCTGGGTGAAGTGAGGAAAATTCGTGTAAAGTGCCTTTCCCAAGGACACAACGTCGGGCCCTTGACGGGATTCGAACCCACGACCTTACGGTTGCGAGTCCGAGAGCCTAACCACTAGGCCACCTTTATATGCCCCATGCTTGCCACTTCTGAATGTCTCGTTATTTTGTTTTGACACCTCAGGCGGCTACATTGTGAACGTGTTCCGAGAGGAGGCTCTTCGTTCTTCTATCTATGGAGAAGGCCTGGACCCCTATATGAAACAGCTAGAGGCGGAAGGCCTGTGGAAAGAGGAGAGACGAGAATTATTCAACTATTTGATCCATGATGTAGTGGGGATTGTATTAGTACATAAAGTCCTCTAATGAGAAAATCATCATCATCATCATCATCATCATCATCATCATCATCATCATCATCATCATCATCATCATCATCATCATCATCATCATCTTCATGATTATCTTCATCATCATCATCAGTGTCAGATCTGAAACAAACATCGTCTCTTATAGTTGGCCATTGATTTCTCCACTCAGATGCTCTCGCAAAATCTATTATTATCCCGGTCTTTCCTCGTCACCTTTCCGTTAATTTTTTTCCAAGTGGGTGGGTCTGGTTATATCCCTGCCTCGTACTATGTATTCTATTTTTCTAGGGAGAGCAAGACGCATAAGACTTTTAGGTCGATTCAAACATCCCGAAAACTGTGGGTGGTTGGCGGTGCTCTGGTGTGGTTTGCACTTCTTCTTTCCTGTCAAACATCTATCGTCCTTATCTCTCCTTCTTTCTTTATGTTTGTTACTCTCTTGTAACACCTCTAATCTTCGGCACTTATAAGACCTTATTGTGTTGCAAGTGCTGTAAAACACTTACATGTACTAAAACTAAAACTCCCCCAAACTGCATTTGTTTATGTGAACGACCGGCGTGGTCTTCTTTACGTCCTAGTTCTACCTCAACTGATTTCTGTTCCTTGTTTCTATTTTATTTTTTACAGTCTTTGGTATTATCCAACATTCACACAGTCATACCGACTATGTGTGCGCTGACACATGACCTTTTAAAGTTTTATTTTGGAGTTATTGATTGAGATGTTTCTATTATTTAGGATTGGATTCATTTGACTGAAAATGTCTAGATCTAAGTCTAAATTTAAATTCTTTGTTTTAGTGCTGTGGAATGGTTGGCCTCGAATGTATCCTACCTATCTAAACCGTTTGCTTAGCAGGTGGACTGGGGGAGAGCTCTGGTTTGGTTTGTTCCTTCTTTCCTATCAGACAGCTGTCGTCCTGATCTCTCCTTTTTTTGGGTTTTTGTTACTCTTTTGCAACACCTCCAATCTTCAGCACTTCTATGACCTTATCGTGTTGCAAGTGCCGTAAAACTTTTACTAAAAATAAATGTTTGCTCAAGAGACTGCACATGGAATTAACTACTTATAAAAAGGTATACATGTATTCTAGAATGCATTCTGGTTTTTTTAGGCTTGACAATAACCCTTTTCATTCACTTTCCTTCATAACAGCATCAAGAAGCAATTGAAGAAAGTCCTTTTTTAAAATCTGCAACCAAAAAGGTGTCATTGGCTTATCTGATGTTATTAATATTTTTGACATTCACTTTGAGACCTTAACATTGCTCAATATTTCTGAGGATTTTCTTTCTCAGTATATTTGTTAATTAAAGAGCTCTGGAATAATAATGTGTGCGTCCTTTCCTAACATTTTTTTTGTTCGCTTGCATTCGATGTGCTCCTCGTCAGTTCCTAGTACAGTGTGACAGCCGAGTTATAATTGAAGC